GATCAGAGTGGAGTGTGAGGTTGCTGACATACCAGGGGGCGTTGGTGAGGAGGCGAAGGCAGATTGATTGGAAGGATTGGAATTTTTGAATGTTTGATTTTTTGGAGGTACCCCATAGCTGTATTCCGTAAGTCATTGAGGGGCGGAGGATTTGTTTATAGATTACGAGTTTTGTGTTGAGAGGCAGATTTGATTTAAGAAGGTGTTTCATTTTGTGGAGTTTTAAATTGAGTGACTTCCTTTTTGTTTTTATGTGATATGCCCAAGTGAGTTTGCTGTCGAGATGGACTCCGAGGTAGCGGGTCTCTTGTGTTTTAGGAATCGTGACATTGTTGAGGAACATAGGGGGACTATGATCTGGACGTAGAGTAAAGGTTATGTGGATAGATTTATTTGGATTTATTTTGATTCTCCACAAATTGAACCAGTTGTGTAGTTCATTAAGATGGGTTTGTAGATTATTAGATGCTATGGTTAGGTCGACATTGGTAGAAATTATGCCTGTGTCATCTGCAAAGGTAGCAAGAGTGGGGTTTTCGGAGTGAGGAATGTCGGAGGTAAAAATATGTCGAGAGTTTGTGAAATTATATCGATTAATCTGTGGACTTGATGGAGTGACGAATATTAATTTTTGAAACCGAATTGAGTGTGGGGGATTATATTTTGGCTTGTTAATATAGGGTTTAATCGCTTTAGTAAAATCTTTTCTAGGATTTTTGAGAAAGAAGGTAAAAGGCTGATAGGTCGATATGAGGAAGGCAAGTCAGGAGGTTTATCAGGTTTTGGAATTAAAATAATTATGGAGTGTTTCCAAGAACGAGGAATGTGGGAGAGACGAAGAATTGAGTTAAAGATGAAGGTTAGGAGGAGAATGGCTTTCTTGGGCAAGTGTTTTATTATTCGATTTGTTATTAGGTCGTGCCCTGGTGATTTATTGTTTGGTAATTTAATGATAATAAATTGAATTTCGCTGGGGGAGGTACGTTTTATGGGTAAGAACATAGAAAGGCAGTTGGTTAGAGATTTTTCAATGAAGGATGTGTGATCGATGTTGTTTACGTCGGGGTGAGGTGTGAAATTATTTTTTAGAATAGAGGCAAATAGGATTGATTTTTCTAAGTTGGTCTTAGCGAAGGATCTGTCAGGATATCTAATTGGTGGTATTGAATTTTTTTTATTTAGAATTCTTTTAGTAGCTTTCCAAATAGAATTGTTTGAGTTGGTTAAATAGTGTATATATTGTTGGTACATTTCTGTGTTGTGAATGCGTAGAAGGTTTTTAAGGGAGCACGCAATGTTGTTATAGCGACTTTTGTCACTGGGGAGGTGAGTTTGGTGCCAGCGGTTTCTGGCTCGACGTTTTTCAACGAGCAGTTTTGAGAGTTGTTCAGGGAGAAAGTTTTTGTTGGGATTGGTGGGCAAGGAAGATGATGAGTCAAGGGCAGCGGTTTTTATTAACGTGGTGAGAGTCGAGACAGCAGAGTCTATCTCTTCAGTAGATTTTAAAGAAATGTTTAGAGATATATTGTGTTCAACTATGTGGGAGAATTTTTTCCAATCGGTTTTCCCTGGGGTAAGAGTGGGGAATTTTTTCAATGATACCAATTGGTTATTTAATGTTAATAGGATAGGTGTGTTATCAGACGAAAGGTCTGCAAGGTTGACTATATTGTAATTGATGTGATTAGGGAGAGTATGAATGAAAAAGTCAAGAATGTCGGGGATTCTGTTGGAATGTGATGGCCATTGGTTGGATCAGGAGGAGACAAGTATTTTATTGTTTGAAAGTAGTGATCTGTAGAATGAAAGGCCTCTGGAATTGGTTACTCTAGATCCCCATAGAAACTATGTCACAGAGTGACACGCGTGTCATAGGTTCGCCATCTATGGCTAGATGATGTTTGAAATTGAAGTCGCCTCCGGATAAAAATGTGTTACCGAGGAACTTGAAGTACTGAGTGAAGTCACTGTCGGATATTTTATTAGCGTGTCCTGGTGGGCAGTATACAGAGGAGATTGTAGTGGGAACATGGTTTAGTGAAATTGTTATATTTGTAGCTTGAAGGGAAGTAGTTTGGAATTGTGGAAGTACAGCGTGACTAATGTTTGTTTTTATTATTAATGCAGAACCAGCATGCGCAGTACCATCTGGGTGATCGCAGTGGTATGTTGAGTAACAGGGAATATGGAAGTTTGAGTGTGTGGTGAGGTGGGATTCACTTATTAGAAGTATATCTAACCTGAATCTTAAAAATTTAAATAATATAATTACTAACATTAGGCATGTATACAATAATTGTTGGTCCGTCTCTATGGAAACTAGAAATTCAAGAAGTAATTATTAAATTTTAATGTTTGAAATCATATTTCAAATAATACACCGATAATTCGATAACATTCAACCTACTATTATTAACATAATGTTAATTAAAATATTGTTATCTATTATTGTTATGGTTGGTTCAATTATTTGTAATTTTAAACGTATATAGTATATACCATAGTTTGTTCTATTTTAGTATTATATTACATACATGTTCGACGACGTCGCGGTATAGCTACATAATAACCTACCACCATGTTGGAGATTTCTATACTCTCATAAGTTATAATTATATAAATATATTATACTGTCAATAACTATTTGAATATATGATATGATGCATTTAAAAATGTAAATATAAATTTCAAACAATTAATTGGGTTTATCGCCTAACCATACCCCACCGTCTACCTATCGCGGGGCACATTCTACCAATTTTTTAATCACGTGATTCAACAATGTATACCCCATATACTGCCACTGCACATCGCTACATGATTCTAAAAATCTATGGAATATGTCTGGTATGTCGTTTGTCGTTATGATGTTAGAATTGTTACTGTGTTAGATCTATTCGATCCATCTTTATGTTTTTACGTAAGGTTCCACGACAAAATATCCCCACAAAAATATTGCATGACATAATATCCCCCATAATTATTAATTCAAAATTAAAAAAAAATATTCGTCAAAAATTAGATACTTATTTATTTATTTATTTATTTATTTATTCAGCCAAAACAATTTTAATTAAATAATTGCAATAAACACATTAATAATAGCTGATACATATACCAACTGAGCTATAAGCTCGTATCTGGTATACGAAGTTCAACGATATTACAATTCGTTTAATGTAAAATACTTATACAAATAAATTATGATATAAATAAATAAAAATAACATGATAAAATAGACTTAGAATACAAAAATATTGTATGTCAAAAAATTTAAGAATACAAAAATATGGAAATGATTAGTCAAAAATTATACAAAATAAAACACGTACCTATTATAATATTTATTATAATAGTTATGCACTATTGATTTTAAATATTTATTTTTATTAGTGTCACTATAACCTTTTATAACAGCAACTAGCCGCTTGTCCAAATCTTTATGCTTACGCCTTTTTTTCTGTTGAGGCACTCCAGCTATTTGCTGTTCCTCACGACACGCTTTGTAGGTAATGAAATAAAATGACAGTATGACACTATACTATCATTCTATCATCAAAATAACGAATAACACACGTTCACTTTGGAATTTAGATAAAGTGCGATTATTACTTCTAATCGTAACTTTTATAACAAAGGTCAACATTTTGAGTTATTATTTAACCGGGAAATTTTTTCGCGGGATATTTTGTCATGGAATATTTTTGTGGGGATATTTTGACCTGGACATTTTGACGTGTCACCGTTACGTATGGTTTCCAAGGCGCGGAGGCTAATCGTGGCCAAAATTAATTTATACCTGATTTGTTCGGACTGGTTTCCAAAGCGCGGCTGCAGCTCGCTTGACTTCAGATGTCAGACGTATCTAAATGATTACTACAGATTATACATTTATACGGATGTCGGGTGTTGGAGGTAAACGTATGGTGAATCGTGGACAAATGTGTGCTTTTCTTACATATCAAATTGTCAATTATCCAGTGTTTGAAACGTTCACTGAAAAAATTAATACTTTCAAGTTCATGTTCATCCTTAAAAAAGGAACTTATTCATGTGCACGTTTGTGTTTTTTTCAAACGGACGCGTTCACGTTCATTGAAAAAATGAATGCTTTCACTAAATTAGGTCGTAAATTAAATTTTTTATAATAGGAATTATAATTAGAAATTATTATTATATAATATAATTAATCAATATATTTAAAAAAAATATTTATTAAATGGCAAATAAATTGAGCTTCTTAAAAATCGTTCAATGTCATTATAATATAAACATCACGTTCATGTTCAATTTGAAAAAAACGTCCGCGTATCGTTCATTATATATAAACGTAAACTTGTGAACGACGTTCTTCCTTAACACTGCAATTATCTATTCTGTGACCATGGAATGATATTTTATTTTTTTGACTTGAACGGAACTTTAATTCCAATGATACGTTATAATAATACTCCAATTTTCATTCGGTAAAAATATTAAATAATATTCTTCATAATTTACAACTTCAGAGAACGACCAATGAATATGTTTTAAATTATTTTTATTTGATTAAATATTTTAACTTGACATTTTTAAATTACATTTATTACAATTCAAAGGACGAAAATAAAAATATGGTTAGGTGATTCCCGCCTTTTCGCGGAAGCAATGCGAAAGCAGTTCCCGCGGCGTCGTCGGTTCTAAACTGTAAGCAAAAAAAGATGATCCCGCCTAGGTTGTTCGTGTTGTAATGCTGTGGAGAATGAATATTTATTCAGAACGAAAATCAAGATAATAGATACTATAAAATGTACTATTTTTCTAATAAATGAGTAGCTTTTGGACAATTTATTCGTTGGGATGCTCATGAGTCATGAGCAAATTATGACAAATTTAACAAAAAGTGAAATAATTAGCAATAGCCTCATAGCTAGGTATAGGTAATATTATCAAATGTTTATTTTGTAAATTGTAATAATATTATAAAAAAAAGGTCGATCGTATTTATTATTAAAATATAGGCCGACCAGCTGACGTCGATGTGATGAAGAATATAAAACGGAGAAGGGGAAACGATTGCAAATAACGCGGCCAACAATTCGTCTTGATCGCCCGTATGCCTGCCTGCATTTCCAAAGGACAGCGAGCAAGGAGCAAAATATTATATGGATAGCGATAGCCTAACCACAGCCAACCGGGTGAATCACTGATCAGTCGTTGTCAAATACTCTCAAATGTGCCATTACGACTTGTATCCGTACTTATATGACTGGATAATAATAATATAATAAGTAATAACCTTATATTATTTTATATAATATGTTTTTTTAATGCGACGTAGCTTTTAGGTATGTATTATATGTATATTTTTTTTAACTCACTTTAATACTATACTTTATATGATAACATAACTTAACGTACTATGGAATCGTCGACAAATAAAAATTCCGTTCAATATCTGATCCGCAATCCATTTTCTACGTTGACGTATGAAGAGCAAATAGAAATAAAGCAACTAGGACGGCCTACTCCAGACTTAAAAGGTCTCGTTTCAATATCGAAAAAAGCTAACAAAGAATACACTCGTCGTTTTCATGTAGATACCTACAAAAAACACACGTGGTTATGCGGGTGCGAAGTCGAACAAGCAGTGTTTTGTTTTCCGTGTTTATGTTTTGGTAATGAAACTTCGTGGACTAATCGTGGTGTAAGGCACTTGGGTCATTTATCATCGAAAATAAAAAAACACCAAAATTCATTTGATCATTTGCAAAACGAAGTTAACCTTAAAGTACTCGGTAATGGTATTTTAAGCGATAAAGCCGATAAACTTCACGAATTAGAAATACAACGCCATAACGAGCAAATCGAAAAAAATCGTTATATTCTGGAAAAATACCTCAAATGTGTACAGTTTTGTGGGAAATATAACCTTCCGATGAAAGATTTTACTAAAAATAATATAAAGACTCCCGAAAATAACTACATCAGCGTAATGCCAGGCGCTGTTGAACTATGTAAAGGTTGTGACGTAAGTCTGCGTTGCTATTTGGAATACTCAAATAGTATAAATTGGGCTTCTACGACAATCCACGACGATTTATTGGACTGCATATTCCTTGTAGCCCGGCAGAAAATTATATCGGAAATCGAAATGGTGCAATTCGTTTCAATAATTGTTGACGGGACCACCCATGTTTCAAGCACAGTGCATTTGGTTATACTGTTCCGCTATGAATTAAAAGGTAAACCCGTCGAACGTTTTTGGGGGTTTTTCAAAGCTGCCAATGAAAACGATGCAGAATCACTGGCGCAGACGATATTGTCCGAAGTGAACTCGATTTTAAATGATGCGCCGTACAAATTAGTAGCTCAATCGTACGGCGGTGCAGCGGTAATGAGTAAAGTAAACGTTGGAATTAAAGAAATACACCCGTACGCTTATTATATGCATTGCCACGCGCACCAGTTGCATAAAGAATTGACCCAGTCGATTTCTGGGAACAAAGAAGTCCAAATGTTTTTTTCTGATTTGTCAGACATAACTGAATTCTTTTCAAACTCGCCGCAAAGGGTTGCCGTGCTGGATGGAATAGTGGGCAAACGGGCATCGCGGACCGGATGCAATTTCACCAGGCCAAGCGGCACTCTAAACGCGGTCTACATGTATCGAAGTGAGATGATGCAGTGTATGAACATAATAATGGGAACATCGCAACAGACTTCGACAATTAAACAGGCGGGATCGATAAACCGTCTACTGAGTGATTCTGTGTTTATACAGTGGTCGGCGGTCTTCAATGAAATAATGCCACACATCTACAGTCTGCACGACAATGTGGAAACCGCCGCATTGGACGAATCTGCTGACGAACGTATACCGATTTTGGTTCAACAATTCGAAAAACAAATTTCTTACGTACGTAATCAGGTTACTGATATTATTGAAATTGCTTCGAACTTGCCGGACGTGAATGTTAAAAGAAACCGTTTGGACGAGCATTGCTGTAATCGTAGTAACCACCACTATAACAATGAATCTCGAAAATTATTAGCTATTGAAATTTGCAATTCTTTAATTGATATAACTAAAGATCGTTTAGAGTTCACTCAACACTTGACCGCAGTTAAGCTATTTCAATCTGAAAAATATCCCGTTTATACGAAAAAATTTCCAATTCATTTACTTCAATGTACGGATTATTGTTACCCATTTTTTGATAAAGATAGACTGAAAACTGAACTAAATGTCTTGTATTATAGAGATGACTTTCGTACTTTGTCTGGTATTATTCCAACACATCAATATATTTTGAAGAATAATATGATTGATACTTTTAAAGAAGTTATTTTGCTATTAAGAATATTAATAACAGTTCCTCCAATGACCACAGGGCAGCAAAACAGTTTTTCAACTTTAAAAAGGATTAAGACGTGCCTAGAAAACCAAATGGTTGAAGAAAAATTGAATGCTCTAACAATGATAAATATTGAAAGTAAAATGATTTCAGATGATATTGATTTTAATAAAAAAGTAATTAATATGTTCAGTGAAATGAACGATAGATGTTTAGATTTTAAATATAAAACCAAGTAGTGTAATCAATTTTTATTTCGTATAATTTAAAATTGTATTTAAGAAAAATAAACAATAATAATGTACCTATATAAATCATTATGCATTTTTCTACGATATACTATTTAAATAAAATATGATTGATTTTTAAACTAGTTTTGTAGACTTCTTCAGGTTCTTTTTCCTACATTGAATAATAGTTGATCCTAAGTACAATAATATTTAATATATACATACTGATAATTATTACTTGAGCTGTAGCTAATATATATAATTTGGCTCTTAGTATGATATATTTGTAAGTACAGAGTTGGCCACGGAAATAGAGGTAAAAATAAAGTCGTGTCTAAATATTCAATGTCTAACACATTTTTAGTTATTAAGTTACTTAAATGCTAATATTGTATAATATTAATAATTTACCTACACAAATTGAGAACTTTTTTCCACTACTGTTCTATAATATGGGCGATGAAAATTTACATAAAAGCAACCGTGATAAATAAAAAAGGTGAGATACTGGGATATCAAATAATAATATCTAATAATAATTAATAACATATGTATACCATATGTCACCTATGAATACCTAATAAATTACAAGTTTATCTTACCAAATGAACAATTATTGATAAAAAACACTTCAAAAGTTCTACACTTATTGAATTTTTATTATTATAATATAATAGTATCTAATATACATAAGTCAAATTATATCTTTCTAAGTATTTGAATGATTATACCTTCTTGGGCTAATCGTTCTTCTTGTAGTTTTTGACATTGTTTTGAATAATTATATCTATTAATTTATACAAAATACAAATATACTTGAATTAGTTAGACATAGATTTCAAATACCCGATTCACAATTATGTGTGTCATATTCATTAGTAGTGTACAACACATTAATGGTGGATATCGATTGATTGTTGCATCTAACCGAGACGAATATTATAATCGTCAGACGTTGCCTGCAAACTATTGGTCAGAGGACCAGGACATCATTGGAGGTAAAAAAAATTATCATAGAAATGTTTTTGTAAATGATAATAATTTGAACGTTTTAATTTTGCAGGACGTGATTTGATGTCATCAAATGAGGGTGGCACTTGGTTGGCTCTAAACATCCGTGGTAAGTTGGCCACTCTATTAAATGTGTTTGAATTAGATAAAATACCAAACGCTAAATCCAGGGGCCAACTGGTCAAGAACTTTGTGAAAGATAATTCTTCAGCCCTAGAATATTTGCAAGAATTACAAGGATCGCAAGACTTGTATAATGGATTTAAAATGATCACTATTACAATGAAGTTAGCATAAATAATTTGAAACATAAAATGTATTATAATATTATATTTATGTATGTTGTCTGTGTTCAAAGCAGGTTATCTTTAGAAACACATTTCTTTACCAATTTTGTACAAGATGGAGGACCACCCATGAAACACCTACAAAACGGTGTACAAGGATTTGGAAATGGACCTTTTTTAAAAGTGGCAGAGGGAAAGAAACGTTTTAATGACATTGTTAAGAAATATGGACATAGTCACAATAAAGATATATTGATCAACGAACTGCTAGGACTTTTGAAATGGGATAAGCTGTATGAAAAATTAAAAATAAACAAATATGGAAGAAGTCAAAACTAAATTTAAACCTTTTGTAGACATTATCCTGATGAAGAGTTGATCAAGCGGACTCCAAAATTCCCCGGAACTGATAACCAGAAGAAATTTAGTTCCATTTTTGTAGAAATGCCAGCTCGTCAATACGGCACTCGGTAAATTTGCTGTGATTATATAATTAAATACTACAACAAGATTTTTAATTAAAAAATCATTTAATTTTAGAACACACACAATAATACTAATAGACCACGATGGAAAAGTAGAATATAACGAATGGACCAAGTCTGGTTCAATTTGGAATCATCAATGTTTTACGACTGCATTAAAATGTGAAATTTAGAATGTGTACTCTACATGTTCTTTAGACTAAAAACTTTATAGTTTTTTTCAGTTTAAAATGTTCTTGAATTTATATACAGAAACCATAAAACAGGAGCAAACTGGAAGGTATGCGAGTCTGAATTCTATAAAATTCTAAAATTCTATATAATGGTAAACTTATAGCAATAACCAGGGCTCATTAACTTATAGCTCTAAAGAATGTTAGTTAAGTAAAGGTTGTTATAAGAGCAATAATGTGATTTTAAAATAATTTATATAAGCACTTAAATATGCATTTAAAATACCAGAATATGAAAAAATTTGAATAATATTCCCCAGAATTGTTTATTTTGCCTTGGTACTCTATTGTTTTGAAGGTGGTACTGAATTAGACACAAAATAACATTTCAACTTTGAAATATGTAACATATAATTTCTTATTTAGCTTCTTGGTTTTCTAAAACACATTTATAGCTCACATGTGCACCTTAGGACCTCTAAAAAAAAAACTAATGATAGAAGTTACGAGTCATAGTAATAACTAATAACTAATAAGTAATATTGTTAAAATTCAGCAGCCCCCATACTGATGAGACCTTAAGTGCTATAGCACACCCAGCATAGGGTACAGCATACAATTAGTTGGGGCGGGGGGATTAGCCTATAACTGCAAATTATAATATTATTGATGTTTTTTAAACATTAGAAAGATTTTATACATTTTTTTATACACCTTTGGTTAAAATATATATGATTTATTATCATTTATTAATACATTAGCGATGTACTTGTAATTCCATACAAGAAAAAATGTTCAAACATTGTAAATAGACAATAAACATATTGTATATGATATTATATCATATTGCATAGTGTATTGTGTATGATTTTTTGTTTAAAATGATATCACAAGATCGATCAATTTAATTTTTACTGTTATTATGTCACGCACCAGACTACCTGGTCACAGATATTAATGAATAATTGAGAGGTGAACAAATATAAAGTAGTGTTTGATATAAATGGATAACTGAAATGGTAAATAAAATTGATACTGCAGAAAATATACAACTAGATATTACCATAGACATAAACTTTGTATAACAACAGTATCTCTATATCTTACCCTACTACTCCACACTGTACATACGAATAATCAAAAAGTGCCGTCTACGTTAAGCTTTCCATACACTCATTGCTTGTCTAGTAGTATAAGGTTATGGATATTATAGAATGGATAGGCTACTTGTTATACTTATGATTATCATTCAGGAAATAACATGAAAATATCAAGGTCGTATCACAAATATATTTATGTATAATTATATATTGTGATAAGACTTCTGCCAGGGTGAGATGTAATGATAAAAATAGTCCTTCCATTTTCCCTATTCCAGCACACTTCCTTCTATTGTGATATAGCCATTAACTATCCATTCTTTAATATCTGTAAATGAAGTGCTGCAGAATTAATAAAATAGATATTCATATATATATACATTTTTTAATATAAATTTGATAAAATTATTTTATAGTATCAATCGGTAAAAGAATACTAGTCTTTTTAAGACTTAGGAACAGCTTAATAATCAACGTATTATGCAAAATGTTGATTTTTATGGTTATTAACGTTAAATCACAATTAAATGATTGAAAATATGAGTAGTTGGAAAATTAAATTTTATCTATAGTACCTATTTACAATGAAGTGAATTTTTTTTAATAATATAAAAAAAAATACATATAAACTTTATTCATGAACTATAATATTATAAATTATAACTTTTTAATGATGTTGAATATTAGGCTTAGGTTTATAATAATGTTACAATGTTTAAATTATAATTTAAAAGGTTATGATTAAGAATAATTCAATCACAGTTAATAATTTGAAACAGTACACTTCTATTATCAATATGATATTTGCCTATGATTTTTAATTTTGAATACAAAAGATTTTGTAAAATATAATTAAGTATAGATAAAAATAAAGTACTCATACAATTAAATGCTATTAATACCATTTTTATCTGCTTGTTCCAAAAGTGCTTGTAAATTAGTATCAAACAATTCACATCGGATAGGCATTTCTAAGGAATAAAATGGATTCTTTAGAGCAAAGTCTGCGTATATTTCATAAATTTTCTTTAAAAGTTGTTCGAGGCCTAAATGTGTTGGATCAGCAATTACCATAAATTTCACTCCTAAAATATACAATTGTTAGTTCACCAGTAAAATGTATTAATTCAGAAAATGTAAAAAACTGTATTCAATACCAGTCAGAGTTTGAAAACATTGGAGTTTGAAGGTATCAGCTTCTAAAGTTTCAATTCCAGAACTCCTGGGTTCTGGGCTCAATTGTGATGCAATGGCAAATAATGGATAAAACATACTAGCTAAGAATATCTTTTCATTGATAGTCATTTTGGGCCGACCAAATTTCAAATTAAGTGGATAATTAGTAGCATCATCTAACATTTCTATTGCATCTTTGCCATCTTCCAGTTTTCTACCGGAAACAGGAACTCCATTGATTGCTAGTAATACATGACCAACTGAAAATACAAATAAAAACACTTATATTAATTTGATAATGGGGTTTTAATTATCTTTTGTAAAGTGCCATACCTTTGATGCTGTCTCGTTGACCAAACGAAACTAATAGTCTGTTGTTTTCACAAGATAGTTTTAGATCTAGCGGATAACCAAATGTTTGTTCGGTTTCGATTTTGGGCACTGTGTAATCGTAATTAAATATCAATCCCCCTGATTTTGATACAATGTACACACCGTAGATTCCCATTTTTATGTAGGAGCTATTTGCTTAAAATATATTCTTCATTACATTCATATTAAAAAATACACCATTGTTTCTCTTGGAATGAACACTAAAATGTAGGCATATGCAACTATTATTGAAGGAATTAATCACCAACAAACAAAGTAACTGAACGAATTTAGATGAAATAATAATAATATTACATCGTTTTAATTTATGAAAATGTATAGTAACAACGAACAATTTTCATCGATTCGGAATGTTAACTACAGAATACAGATTACAGATATAGTGTCATATCACTCATATTATCTGTGATATCATATCATATTATGTGGTCTATGTTCATAGCACGATTTAAGATATACACAGGTTGCCCATCGGGAAAATATGATAAGGTGAGTACACAGCTGATATATACATTTTTTTTCATATATCTGTGGGTGAGTAGTTTTATTACTCTATGGTGAGTACCAAATTGAGTTCTTCATGGTGCTGTAAATTACAGCAAGCGCTCTCTGTGAGAGAAAAATAAATTACCGTGTCGCTGCTGGCTGCCTGCTGAATTTTAAATGTTGTAATTCTTTTTACTAATTTAACTTAACAATTTTATATTATTTTCCAAACATTTTATTGAAGTCTGCTTTCAAACTGTATAAGTTTAACAGTAATTTAATATTATAATGTAAGTTATATAGATTTTATTATTTTATTATAATCAGCAAGCTATAATACAACCAATATATTAGTCTTAAAATAAAACTTAGCAGTACACATACGAGAAACCATATTCTTCCAAAAGATATTCTACTAAATATACTCATTATCAAATACCCATGTCTTAATAATATCCTTTTCTTTGAAATGCTTTTAGCAAATGAGAACATTTTTATTAAATTTCATATCTAGTGTATTTTCCCACAAATCTAATGATGCTTTGGGTATACCAAAATTACTACTTTTGTATAGTGTTTTACAATAAGGAATGCAGCACTTCATTTTACTATATTTTTCCAATTCGAATAAATATTTTTTTATAGTTTTAATATATCCTATGAAGTCTCAAACCTCAAGTGTAGTAGAAATAATACCATACGTCATACAAAATAACAAAGTTTTGTATGCTCCAAAGTAATAAGTACCCAAAGTACTTAAAGTATTTATACATATCTTAAATCGTGGAATAGAATCTATGACATAAGTTCACATTTTTTAGTGTGATAATTAGTTGTTGATTTAAATTGTGTTAATAGAGAGCGCAAGCGTCTTTTTCCACGGCTGTGAGTCAATCTCGTCTTCAAACTTTTTACTTATTAAGACTAAACAGTTCTAAACTATTTTATGGTTCGAAAGTACAATATTGATGTACTGAACCACTATAAAGGTTTCATCGATTGACATTACACAGTAAAATAGTTAGTTAGTATTAGGAAAATACAGGTAAATGATAATCATATTCAGTCACTTAAAATTTGAATTGCAAAATATAGCAATAAAAATATAGCAATACAAATTTTACAGCAACATAATAAAACCATTTCTTCCTACTTACTTATTATTTTTAATGTGACAATTATTATGCTAAATATTCAAACTTTATATATGCTATTTGTTCAGTGTTCAGAAGTAAGTTAGGAAATAGGAATATTAGGAATAATAATAGTAATAATAATAAATAAAACTTTAAATAATATGTACTACAAACGTCGAACAGAACAGAAATGTATTTGATTATTATATGCACATACAATTACCTAGGTATATTTAACTTTTAAGTAGATAGAAGAAAAAAAATCAAAAAATGTATATATTTTATACAAAAAAAAAAAAAATACAAACTTAAGTATAAAATCCCATTTTCGTAGTAACATAGCAAATCTATCGATAATTTCTTCCACATTTAAATCAATGTATATGTTTAGTAAGGCCAATCCTGTAAGTCTCGTTTCTCCCATACTGTTTCGTAAGTATGTTTTAAGTCTCCGTAGAGTTGAGAATGACCGTTCAGCAATAGCAGTTGTATAACAGGCAATGTGGCCAACATTTTCAAAAGACTGAATGTTTTTGAAAAAATCATAAGACATTTCAGACAAAGTAGTCAATGATGTAGTTGGACGGTCTCTATCAGATACATTTTTCCATTTAGCTATCCATATTTTAATTTCTGCGTCAAATGTTTCATAATCAGGTAATATCTTCATAAAAAGCGCTGCCTCTTGAAAAACGTTATATCAGTTGTACTTTTAAGAAAATTTGGAATTGCATTTTTTGCACTTTTTCGAAGTAAATACAAGCCAAGGAAAACGGTTTAGCCAACCTAATTGAAATTTCAGTCGCCTTTGTTGTTCGATGGGAAATTGGTAATTTTTGGGTGATGTCCATGAACTTTTTAATAACTCGTATTTTTTTGCATCATTTATATTATTAGAAGCTGATAAAAATAATCCAATAACCAGAGAATAATTTTTTAACGATTCATTGTCTATATTTGTATCAATAGTTGCGTCTGCAAAGTGTTTGCCGCATCAACTTCGGTTGCAATATTTTCTGTATTACTCGATTCACTTTCAGTTTCTTCATTATTTTTAATTTTTTTTACACCAAAATTGAATAATGATGGTTGATCACTATTTCTTTTCATTATAAAAAATAAAATATATAATATATAATATTTAATAAATTTGGTTGTTTAAAATTTAATCAGTTTTCATAAGTTAGTACTCGCAAAAATAACCATAACACTATCGCACTCGTATATTAGGTATAACCGTTCAAATACCGAATACAGACTAAACGATCGTCATCGTTTAATAATTATTGTAGTTTAGCAATTCAATAGAAATTATTGGTGACCGATCGAGTACGGAAATAAGATAAGATAATTTATGGATATAAATCTGATATATTTTATAGGATAATTTATCCACAAAATATGAGTTTTCTAGTTAAATCACAAATCGCAATAATACAGTTTTATGTACTGTGGTTCGTGCGTATTCCTCAGTAATCACCTCGATCATTGAACTACAACACTATATAGGTATTATTGTATATAAACTTGTATTTCATACCCGACTAATAGACAGTGAAAAACACGTCAACTGCTAATTATAAAAATATTTTATAACTATAGGAGTATATTAAATTTGACTTAATTTTCCAAGAAATTATTTCGGGGGGGCTAACCCTGATACGTGCCTGAGATGTTAACAGTGAACAGTCTCTCGATTGGCATTATTTATTATTACGATGAACAATAGTATACATGCACAATAATATGCAAGTATGTAATAATAATAATAATAATAGTAATAATAAGGTAGTAGAAAATATATAGAAGCAATAAAAATACATGAAATATCATGATCTATCATATCTTTCTCCACTTCAGATTTATATTTCATAAATAAAAGTATTTGGGATTGCAAAGGGAAGTGAAATTGATACTGAGGAATAAGAATATAATGTTATCTTGGTGACATGGATTTAGCTTAGATTTATTAAAATGTCATACATTTTACACACGGGGATAATTCAATTTTTTACTATTAAAAGGTCAAAATAGAGGACATAAAAATATAATATAATAAAAATTTGTTACAATTTTATTTAAGTAATAAGCTGGGTTCAGTTAAACGACTATAATCACTTAATTTGTTTACCAATCTTGGAAAAATAAAACTACTTGGTATTTTACGATTTATATACTTTTGAACATAAATAGCTGTTGCTTTTGAATTATTATTACATAATTTGTAACACTTTAACATGTCTACTTTTTCTGAGTTTGTGTAAAGCATTTTAACAAATTTTAATACTTAATTGTATGTAAAAAAAAAATCAATACTTATGAGTTATGACAGTTCAATTTTAATACTGGCATATCTATATGCAAATCCACATACTTCATTAATTACTGTATCATGTAAGAATAATAACAATTAGCTTTTATATTTTTATAAAAAAAAAATATATTTTTGTTGTATTTTTTATGAAGGGTGAAACTGGAATATCATAATATGGTTCTTGTCAAAGAATTTCCAAACAAAATAAATTCCATAACTATAAAATTCAATTTTTTTTCATCAAACTTTAACTGGTAATAGATTTAATGATTTTTTAAGAAATCAAATTCCTCAATTATTGTGGAATCTGAATTTAAAACAACGTTTAAATTTAAATTAATATTGGCATCAGGATGGCGCTCCCGCTCACAAAAATATTATTGTACGAGTGTTTAACAGAACTATTTGAATTTTGGAGTCAAATGGCTTGGTAATTCTATTAAGCAATAAAATAATTGTATATTATGAATATACGTACCTATAGTGAGCATATAAATATATTGTTTTTAAAAGGTACATAAAACCCAGAAATTGAATGGCCAGCACGCAGTCCTGATTTGGCTCCATTAGATTTTTATCCTTGGGGTTTTTTAAAAGAAGTTGTTTACAGAACTCAATCAAATAATTTGGCTGAATTACAACAAAAAATTGAAGAAGCTTGTGTTTCAATACCAAAAGAAGTTTTTTTTTAATTTTGTAAATATTCTCTAAGTATTAAAACAAACTGATTTACATTAAAAATAAAAATTAGTACTTTTTCGTATCACAACTACTATCCAATGCAGTGACAGATACGCAGAAAGTAAAACTGAACATTCAAAATTAAGTTAATATTTTAGAACTATTTTTAAATTATAATTAATTTTAAAGTTATAAATTTCTGGAATTTATCAAATACTGATAAAAAATATACGCTTGAATATCTTCAAAAGCTGTTTGCTTTCAAGATACTATATATTATGTGAAAATGACCATAATTAACTAATTACATTTCTTTAACAACTACCTTATTCAGGGGCGCACCCAGAATTTTTTTTTTGTGGGGGGGGGGCTAAATTCAAAAAATTGTTATATTATTAGGTAGTATTTATTTTGAAATATGCACAGAAATCTTAAAGCTTGTTAATTAACAATTAAAAACGAATAAATAAATAAATAAGCTCTAGAAAAACCAACGATGTCGACTTGAACAGTTGAACGACAATACTAGTTAATCTACTGAATAAGTAATAAAATGAAAGTGGAATTTGTCGTAAAGATACCTGCGGTTTGAGATAAACTAAATTGTATCGATAAAAATGTATAATCTAGACGTTTCCGGTATCCTATACAGTACACAGTTTCAACTAACGACGATAATAATAAACAACAGAGGTCTCTCCCGGGGCCCGGAATGACAGGTATAAATATAATACAATATTATGTTATACCTAATGTTTAAATTTCGATAA